CAGAATACATGTATAAACAGTACTATAATAAATTGCACGCAATAAACAAAATCACGTGCTGTAGCGTTACTCACAAATCTAATCTACTGTAAAATATTTTATTTCAGCTGGAATTATCATTCGCTGAAAAGACTTTTTCTGGCTGTTTTTTGTATTGAATTTATTTTCATTGATTTTTGACAAGTTTGACTGTAAAATATAGGAAAAAGGGAATATTCGCTGGATTTTATTTTAACTGAAACATTCCTTCAGCGAAAATAGCAAAAAAATGTTGCAAGCAAAAATAAAGTATTTTACAGTAATTAATTTATTCTGAGCATGCGCAGACGTTCTGTCAATGTTGCCGGGAGAGGTAATTTTTGATAAAAATCGTGAAAAAGACCCACTTGGGATTTTCAGATCTGGAAAAAAAATGACGTGCATACTCGGAATACACTTGTTCATCAACCTACCAAGTTTCACTGATACCTGCTGTAGAATTTCTGAGAAAATGTTGGAGATGGAAAACGGACAAAACCTGAATTATAACTCCCCTTTTCAGGCTGCGCCTGAACGGGGACTAATAAGCAACATAAATATTTAAATGTGGGTCAATACAGTATTCACTCAGAGTTAATTTTAAGCATGTGTGAACAGGTTAACCCAATGTCAACCAGGGATAGTTTAGCTTGGATTTAAAAAAGGGGTTCTGTCTCAGCTCCAGGGTAAACCCTAAGATAACATGTACATCCTGACTCAAAGTTAAAAAATACTATCTAATGATGGCGACACACCAATATCATCAACTAAATTGACTGAAAACCAGCGAGCTGATGACAGTGTTTCAAACTAACTGGCGTAAATAATTAACAACAAGATCAATAACAACAAGAACAAAACACAAAATGAAAAGTTACAGACTTTACTGCTCATATTCACATTACTATAACTGAGGCTGGGCATGATGAGGGACCATTTAAACGATGTTAATGCCATTGAAAATGCAAAAGTTTGATGCTCTTTGGTAAAATATCACTTGTGCGGCAAAGGCATTTAATTAATACTGGGATATCTGAAACAATGCAATATCCATTAAATCCACTGAATGTTTACAAAACAATATAGCTTAGAAAGCAAAGCATATATGCAGAATGCTATTACCACTTTGAGCATCAAAATCAACAGTTTCAGAGAAACACTCTTAAATAATGGACTTCTAACACATTTACTGTTACATATTAATAGAAAGTTTTAAAAATTCGATTTAAAAATACATTATATCTGTATAGTATAATATAATATAATAAAAAAAATAGAATTTTCCTTACATTAGTGTTTTTATCATGAAACTGTATTATTTCACCATGACGACCGAGACGTATTGTTACATTGCCATCACAGCTAACAGGTCCTGTGGGGACACTGATTTTACCATATCCTATAATAAATTGGAGGTGAACAAAATATGAACAAACAAACAAATGTATCTCAACGATTTGGATGAATGATGTAATGTAATGTAATTTGTTTTGAGCCACCCATCACGGATCAGTTCTAATGAGTGATTATATCTAAACATACATGAGCTCTAAGTTAAACTATTTTTTTGACAAATAGTCACAGTACATGTGTATGCATGAAAACATAAACAAGTATGTCCCTTATAGGGGATTAAAACACAAATATTATCCATATCTGTAGTTAGTAATTTATATCAAAATCATTACACAATTCATTATTTACTTAACCTTATTAATCAGCATGATCCTTACCTGTTGTATTTGGTACATTGGGTTCTAATTCTTGTAACCTCTGTTCAATTGTCTGTTTTAAGGGATGGTCTTGTAAAGCATCAATTGATAACTGTATGAACTCACGTTGCTCAGACCAAGATAACTCAATCTCTTCAAATCGTCTTTCTATTACAAATATCGAAAATTGGGATTGATTCTTTAACAAGCATTTTGTACTACTAAAAGC